AGGGCAACTTCAAAACGTATTCTTTTGTCTAAAACCTTAGTTACTTAGCTTTGTTTAATGATTTGCAACAAGATAATAATTTAAAAAGGTGTTCCTATGCTTCTTTTATCATTTCATAAAATATCTTTCTATATGTTGCATATTTTAAAATGTTTCCACCATGTCTATAATTTTTACAATATTTCCATACGATATTTCCGACATGTTTCTTATATTTGGATGACCGATATTTCCACCGACATCGACATTTTAAACCTTGCCCATAAAAGATATAATTGCAGACTCATTAACAAAACCCATTGTGTTTTCAGATTATGTGAAGCACATAGAATCAATGGGTTTGGTTGGCAAATATTCATCTCAGATCTAACTGGCCATGTGCGAGATGTTGGAATAGTGGCCATAGGCCCTCATTTGTGGATCCTCACATGTTGGAAAATCCAGTGGCCATGTGATAAACCACATGGTGATGGAAGACAGGTCATCTCTATGCTACACCCTTGCACACAACCATATCATTCTTATTCTTATAAAATCTTTTTTGGCATAGAGAGACCACTGTTGAAACTCACTAGAGCCATTTCTAGCTCTTACCGGGTCAATGGTAGACCATTTGGCCTTAGTGTAGTCTGGATGATCAAGTGATAAGATCCTTCATCAATGAGACACTTGTCTCGATCCAGAGGGGCTTGACTCAGCCAACCAAATGGTTCTCTTGCAATGTTCATGTTAGCATTAAATGCATAAGACAACTTTAGAGGCTGAATATGTTATAAATAGATACTTAGCTTGTTTTCTAAGCACAAGAAAAGAGCTGTCATAAGGAACTGCAAAAGCCTCCAAGTCTAAGCCCAATTTGGATTAGCTAGTCCCTTGTTGTGTCTTGTTCCAAGGGCCCGTGTCTCAGATCTTCTTCTTCACTTTGTTTTGCTGGTCAAGGATTAGAATTTAGCAAGGGGTGTTCATCACTCAGGTGGTGTGCAATCCTGCAATTCAGAGAAATAAAAATTTGTGGGAGGTGGAGGAGCTTGGTTCTCTGTTCTTGAGGTTGAATGAGTTTCATTTGGTCCCTGTGGATAGTGATAAAAGAGTATGGTTAGCTGATAATTTGGGTTGCTTCCCTTCCAAGCTCATGTTATAGGATGCCCCCAGAATTGCTAATGAGGGTATTCATTGGGCTTAGATTTGGAAAGCCCAGGCACCACCTAAAGTGGCATTCTTTCTATGGATAGCTGCTAGAGACAAGGCTCTCACCATGGACTACCTACTGAACAGAGGATTTCTACCAAAAAAAAAAGAACAGAGGATTGCCCATTGAGCATGTTTGCAGACTGTGCAATTCAAGCACAGAATCTGGTCCCCACCTTTTTATCCATTGCACTTTTCACTCACACAATCTGGGCTCATGTCCTTAAACTCTTCAACACAAGCTGGGTGACACCCCCTGATCTGGCCTCTTTACTTGATCCTTGGACCAAGCCAGGTATTTCTACCAAAGCGAAAATCCTTTGGAAATTGCTCCCTTTGGCCCTTTGCTGGGAGGTGTGGAAGGAGAGAAACAGTAGATTTTTTGAAGACGAGGCTGCACCTATTGAAGCAGTAATGAGCAAAATTGAATGGTTATTGGTTCAGTGAGTGCAGGTATTAAAAGCTTAGGATATACATATTATCAAAAAAAAAAACTTTAAGTTCAGCATTGATAGAATCCCCCATACTAGCTGGGCCTGAAATAAAGCAATAATATGTCCTGTATTTCTATAAACATCCCCTATTCCTGAAAGCCCTGGGTTTCCAAGGCTGCTTCCATCAAAGTTTAGTTTTATGAACCCTTCTTCTGGAACTGCCCAAGGGGTTCTGTGGATTTCACAAGTGCCTCTGAATGTATTTTTAAACTTGGACCAAGTTTAAAAAGAAAATCCTGAACTAAAACTAAATCAGGAAAAAGACTTTCTCAGGCCAGAAGAATAAATAATTTCCTTGAACTTGAACTTAGTCAACTAGCAATCAGACCAAAATGAATGAGTTCACAAATATTGAAAGAAGACAAGCTGATCAAATGATTGTCTAACACTCTAACTACCAAAATATCCCCTTCCACTGTCTCTTTGTATATGGCAGTATGGCACATTATCTTAAGCAGACCAATCACCAAGGTTTAAAAAACCGACCCGGAACCAGAACTGTTCTGGTCACCAGTTTCCGGATCGATGGTTTGACCATCCAGTTCAAATGGACAAACCGTTCCAATGAAAAATAAAAAAATAAAAAATAATGAAAATAAAAAATGACCAAAACCCATTGAACGGGTTTGGCCAGGTCGCTGACCAATTCAATGGTTTTTGGCCAGGGACTGGGTTTGGGGTAAAACAGAACCTGTTACTTGGACGGTTCCCGGGCCGAACGGTCCAACCATCTGGGTCAATGACGGTTCAAAAGCATTGCCAATCACTGTCTTTTATTATAATTGAGGAATGTAAATAGATTGAATATCCAGGATTTAGTCACCTAAAAATGCTAATTCTGAATGGGGTTCCAGTGTCAGATGTTACATTATCATCTAAGCCTTCTCCCCAACTATATGGGGTCAGCCACATGAATCCTGCTTTGCCATTCCTTTTGGTCTGCCCCTAGCCCCTTCAACTTGCAAAAGATCACTTCTTATAGGTGCTGTAGAGGGTAATCTATGCATGTGATCTAACAATCTTAGTCTACTTTCTCTCATTTTATCACCCATTGGAGCTACTCCTAGACATGGTTTAAAGTATTGATGCACCCAAATGTATAGGCAGGGGTATATGGGTGCTTTAAACCATGCACCTTTTATTTTATTAGTTTTTTTTTCAAATTTTCATTTTATAAATATTTTTATATTATTAATAAATAAAATAAATGGGTTCCTGAAAACACCTTTATACATGTGTATCAAAACCCTGCCGATACAATATGATACTCCTGATACGGGGCGTATTGTATTGATACCTTGGACCTTGCTCCTAGGTTCTCCTTTGGATGGCTTCATTTTTGGCCCTATCCTTTCTAGTTTTTAAACTCATCCATCCCAGCATATGCATTTCTGCCACACATTATTTGGACATGTTTTGTTGACTGCCCAATACTCTTTAAAGTATTGCTGGCCTTACAACTGTTTTATAGAATTTTCCTTTTAACCTAAGTGGTATTCACCATCACATAAAACTCTGGATGTGCCCCTTCATTTTGCCCATCATGCTCCAATTCTATAGGCAATATCCTCCTCAATCTCTCCTTTGTTATGAATTATCAAACTAAGGAAACAAAAGAGGTCACATTGGCTTATCTCTTGTTCTCCAATCCCAAGCATACTCTGATTTGCTCTCCTATTATTATTAAAATTACATAGCATATATCTATTTCAGTCCTACTCGTTTTAAAAAACTCTTGTTTCTATGACATTTTTCCATAAACTTGGTTTTGCATTTAATCCTTCATTAGTTTCATCAATTAATACAATGTCATTAGCAAATAATAAGTACCATGGGACCTCCTAAATATGTTTAGTCAAATCATCTATAATTATTACAAATAAATAAAGATCGAGTGCTGAAACCCATCATCCTCTCCGACAAGTGTTCTAAGCATACATATTCTTAAGTAGGTCCAAGTGCTATTTGGAACTCCATTCTTTTCCAAAACCCACCACACTATCTCTCTAGAGACTATCATATGCTTTCTCTAGATCAATGAACACCATATGAAGATCTCTCTTCCTCTCTCTAAACTTTTCTATCTATTGTCCTGAGAAAAAAAAAAAAAACCCATGAATGAACTCTCTAGCGTAAACCCAAATCAGTTTTCAATTATACTTGTTTCATGCCAGAAATTGGGAGGTGGACTAGAATTGAGTTGGTATTGATCCTGCATCATGTAGTGCCTTTAATTTCATTTGATAGTAAATAAAGTTCTATATTGTATATTTTACATGCTAGGTGCCATATGTCTGGAATATCAGACTTTGTTGCATGCAAGACTCATGCACATTTCCAACACCAATAGGTTTGTCTTTCAAGTTAGATGCACCATACCTGATAGCAAGGATCAACAAGAACATCCCAAATTGTAGCATTGAACGCATGATCTGACGTAGCACGTGCCATGCCAATAAGCTCCTTTTGATCATTCCCCTCTGCCAAATAACTTCTCCAAGTTCATCATTTATTTAAATAGAGCTCAGCTGCAAATTATTATAGAAATGTAAACAAGTATAGTTATTAGCTCAAAAAAACTGATCACAGCAGAACTATGAGCACTTTAGATACCACTGGATTTACCAAATACCTGTCCCCGGCAATTTCCTTATGGAATGTAAAGTGGCTACCATGTAGCTATTTTTCAAAGCAGCAGCTACTTTTGACAGTGGCCTCCGAGGCCAGCCTACCTAATAAACCCATGACATAGAGCCTATTAGCAATTCAAATTGAACAAGAAAATGCCTATTTTGTTAGTGCAAAACTAAAGTACCAAAATCAACAGCCCTAATAACAAACATGTAGATATACTCTAGTGATTCAAGTTTTTCTATTGGTTTACTTTATGGATTATTAGGCTCCTACACTTTTTTTTACAAAGGTAGCATATGAATTGTACACAGGATCTGATATAAACAGATTGCATTGTAAGAATATAAATATAACTAAAAAAATCAAATGCATCTGTTAAAATCTGCAACTTAAACATGTAAATACTGCTACTAT